AGTCTGATGAAAAACTAACTACCAAATGGGATTATTATGTTTCTAACATTTCTAATGAATAAACAGCTTTCTTTCAAACAACCAACACAGAAGATTGTTTTTATGTGTTATTACTCTGAGTTACATTACCCAGTTAAAAATACCCCATATGTAAGGGAATCTACTCCTCTGAACACAGAAAATAGGCAGTTATAGAAATTCAAACAACGAAATGCTCCCTTGTGTTACATAAGACGACTGGAGAAACCAGCAGACCATCTAGCAAAAATAAAAGTGTACTCACTGTACTGAATGTGAACTTGTGGAGGCTTTTTTCTTAGCGTAAAACCAGCCAGCATTCCTTCACCCATTGACTATTTTGAACATGCACTGGAAATCAAGGGTTGGCAATGAAGATAAACACGTCACTTTTCTACAAGGGAGGCATTACAAAGAAGTTGTTCTTACATGGTAAATAATAGAAACTCACTGAAGAGTGGGATGAAATAATGCAGTTCTTCCAGTACTTTGCTGCGTGGGTGAATACGGACATGACTCTGCCAATCTTATTTCTAACTTCTGAAGAAAACACAATGGCTCAGCTGTGAGAAATTTCCTGGACTGTCAAGTAACTGGAAGGAAAGAAAAAGAAAACAACAATAAAAACTGATAATGCTCTGCTTTACCTAACATAGTAATTATAACCTCATGTGCTGTTTTATCCCCTCACAATTACTTGACCCTGTGCAAATGTTTCAATATATTGATATTACAATGAAAAACAAGTAGACAAAAGCGTGGTTTTATGAACATGCCTCTTTCAGAAGCCCTATTTATTAGTATGCCAGTTTCAAATTTACCATTAACATATATTAAGCTAGGAAGAGAGTCACTATCATGTTAATATCTAGTAGTCATTGTAATTATGAAAAAACAATTAGATATGTGTTGCATCACCTTGATTGAATATCGCTGTGATGCATCTCTAGTTTACATCTACTGACCTCCTGATCCTTCGGGAGATTAGCAAAAATGAACCAAATAAAACAAGACTTCTCACCTGGGGTTTGGTTTCCAAATGGCATTCAACACCCAGCGTGTACATCTTCTGTCATCCTGGTCTATATTTGTGCTGTCTGTTTTCATGTCACATCACCAAAATCTTTTCTCCTTAGGCTTGTTTTGAAGTGTTAAAGATGACGTCTCAGCCAGATGGAGAGCCAGCTCCAGGTACAAGAGGTGTACCAGCAGAACCAGGAGTTACTAGGGTAGGAAAGTACAGGATGGCATCCCTTTTTGGTGCTGTCTGCCACACTGTGGGGTCAGCTTACAGCTCCCCAGGGAGAAATGCACGGCATCTCCTCGCACAGCAATTAAAGACCGCTGTGACATTATTTTAGGATTTGGCGTCCTCAGTGGGTGAACCCAGCACCTGCCTGTACGGCACCATGAGGCCTTTTGGCTCAAACATCAATCCCAAACGCCACAGAAACAGGGAGGCTGCAGCGTGTGTCCTTCGTGCAGCCCCTGTGCTTGAGTCAGAGATCACTGACGTACGGCAGTGCCCCATTTCTGTTGCGGTATGACGCGGGATTGCTGAAGTCACTGCAGATTTGGAGAAAAGACAGATCATCTCCAGAAAGCACTCCCCATACAACTTGCCCACATGCGTGGGGCACAAGCCCCATGTTGGGGACAATGACTCACACCCCCCTGTCACAGCCATGCACTGAGGGCACCATCACCCCCCTGTGCACAGCCATCAACTTGTCCCAGGACTCCACGCACCCCACAAGCATCCCTGCCCCTGTCCTCAATCCCATGGTGACATCAGCATGGACTGAATTGGGGCAGGGGATGTGGGGGGACTTGAGACATGAGGGGATGTGTGGGGACACAGGGACATGTGAGGACATGGGGGGATATGGGGTGGAGGTGTGGGGTCAGAACTGCAGAGGTGAGATGAGGTGACACGTAGAGGTGACACAAGGAGGTGGCAGGCCGTGCCAGGAGGTGCCGGTGCCATTTGAGCAGCACTGCAGGGCAGATGATCAGCACCAGCCCAACCTGGGGGTCATGGTGACACTCCAGGATGTGGAGATGCTATTGGTTTTCAAGCAGGAGTTCGTTATCTATACATAATACTGCACTTTTTTTTTTTTTTTAAGTCAGTGATAGTATGCAGCCTGATCCCATGTCTTTGAAAAGTGCAGTTTAAGGATCGTCAGCTGAGAACAGCAGCAGAACATGGGGTCATCACAGGGGGAAGGCACAGGGAAGGAAGCGAGGAAAGAAAGGAGAAAGCCTGAAAAAGGAATGGGGAAGGCACAGGGCGAAGGAAAGGGCAAGACATAGGGGAAGGAGGGGGAAAAGGACAGAATAGCTGTAGAGCAGCCTAAAAAGCAGCAAGAAGCTTTGGGAGGACTGTCAAGTGCCAGATTCTGTATCAGGTGTGTATCTGTGTGCATAAGTTGCCATTACCTGCTTTGGTCAGGGTTCTTGTCAGTTCTGAGCTCCTGCAGTGGGAAGAGCTCTAGCAACTGGTGCAGTCGCTGCAGACCTGTGGGATGGGGGAGTGCTTGATAAGGACAGCCCTGCAGCCCTCAGCTGGACAAATTTGCTCCGTGTGCCCAGACTGGGAGCTGTACAGTGCCCGTCCGCACTGCTCCAGCTCAGAGCCTGCAGCCTGCAGCTGCATCTTTGCTTCCTTCCCTCCTGCCCAGAGCCTTGAGGGTGCTCCCACAGTCCCCTGCCCACCCCCAAAATGTCACAGAAGACAGCTGGCAGCGAGCTGAAGGAATCCCAGCACCCTGTTTTCCTTCTGCCTGCAGCTCTCTCCTCCTCTGCCACACAGGGCTCCAGCCTGCAAAATGGGAATGGTCGGGGGGAAAGGGAGTGCTGGCACAAGCGAATGCTGCAGCTGGCCAGGGAGGGTCTGCGTACCCTGTGCCCATCTGGGCTATCCGTCCAGCTGCAGGAAGACCAGGGTAGAGCAGCTGAGAAGCTGCCCCCATCAGAGGGGGGAACAAGCTGTCCTTCCACAGAGACATTCCTCTCACAGCCAGATGCACCCACACAACTCTTGGGCCATCTTGCCAATGGCAGCTGTGGCACATCAATTCTTTCTAGGCAATAATTTTTTCCACCTGTAAACTTAGGGGGAGAACTACAGTTTTTGTTAATCTTTGTAGGAACACTGTAATGGTCCACACAGAACTCAAAACTGCAGCTTTGTGCTAGATCTGGCTGCTTAGACTTGCTAGGACCTAAAACTTCCCATTTTATGGCATGAAAAGAACAAAAAGCCAAAAATGAAACCCGCAGGGAAAGAAAGGCTTTTGAAGAAAAATACGTGGAAGTATAAACAAGACAGAGGCTGAGTGAACATTCATATGGCCCTGCACTTTCTGCCAATGGGCTCTAATCCCATTATCGTTAAATTCACTGGGCAGTTGCATTTTGGTATTTGAACATTTAGAAACAATGCAACAGACGCTAGCAAAAAGAAAGAAGAAAAAAAGAAAAAAACCTCTTTTTTTTTTTAAAGCTATTTATATGCACTTGGCACAGCTCTCCTGGGTTTGGAGTAGTTTCCCTCTTTCCTCTTCGTCTTTCCCCCCACAACCCCTCCACTTCTAACTTCGTGCTCCTCTCCCGTCCTCACAGCACACACACCGGATCGCCAAGCACTGCGCCGCCGCTCTCCCAGTCCCGTCGGAAAAGTTCTTTCTGCGGTCTCTGCCGCCACCTCCTGGCCAATGCGCAGAACGGCCGCTGCGTCCCGCAAGCAGCACAACGCATGCGCGTACAAAATGCGGAAGTGCCGTTCTAACCGCTCTACTCAGCTAATCCGCCGCCTCTCTATGGTCATCAGTCCTCCAGGTAATAGCGAACATAGCGGCGAACAGCCCCGGCCCGGCAGGTGATTTCGCATGATTAGTTTCGAGTACTCACCTACGCGTGCGTTGTTTTCGACTCCTCATTACGCGTGCGAGGGGCGCAGGGGCCGCTGGGAGCCACAATAGTCTGTTCCCGAGGCAGGCTCCAGGAATCGACTGCTCGCCTGCACCTCGAGGCTTTGTAGATTTGAATGCTAGTTATGAGTGTCCTGGCGCATGCGCTCTGTTGCCTCGAGGACTAACCGTAACAAAGCTCGGCGGATTTGCTGCACAAAGCGAGGAACACCACCGCCGCGTGCCTGTGCGCATGCGCCCTGGTGCCTGCGGCGCCAAACAAACACGGCCGCAATTCCAGCTATTGGCCACGAGGGGGCACCGGAGACCGTGGAAACAACAACGACTGGTTCGACGCGCAGCCGCGCCGCAGCTTCTGGTGCTCTTCTCCCTGCCGTGATGGCAGAGGAAAAACGCAGTTCGATGGGGGTTGAGGGAGGAGAAAATTACGTCAATTGGAAAAAGACAAAGAAAACCAAGGAAAACTTTTCTACACCCAGCAAACCTCTGCTAAGCATGTAAGAATATTATATCTTAATTTTATAAGTCTCACTTTTTTTTTTTTTTTTTTTTTTTTTTTTTTAACCAACTGTCACTGGAGCACTGTCAGTAGATGTACCAGAAATATTGACAAGGGTTAAAGAAAATTGTTCTAATGTTGTTTTGGTTTGTTTCTACTTCACATAAATCAGGAGAATTATTTGTTTTTCAATGCCACCAAAGGAGCCATTTCTTCACTGATATTGAAATTCATTATGAATGCCTCTAACAAAAATGATTAGTTGAGCCATTGTATTTAACATGAGCATTTTCACCCACAGCCAAAGCATAGGAATTGATATTAGCAGTTTAACTCTCCAAATTTTGTTCAAAAGACTTTCATGTTTCTTCAGTTCAGCTGGCTACAGTCTTGTGAGACAAACTCAAATCAGAAAATGGTTTTGATTTTTTTGCCATCAGATTTGCTGCCACATTATCAAGTTTTATTAAGGATTCCCTTGGAGTTTTAACTTGGTTCAAAATAATTTGTTAAGGTGACAGGCTATTTCCAGTTGTGCTTTTTTGTTTTTACAAAGCATTTCTTGATGTGCAGCACATTTTGCAATGTGTTTCTGCCTATAATGTTGTTTCAGGATATGTTTGCATCGGAGAGACGGGGTGTCTCAGGAGCAGAGGCAAGCAAACTACACAGTCAGAGCAGCACAGAGTTATGAGTTTTATTTGGCATATGCACACACACAGGTATCCATTTTTGATAGCCCCAGAAGATGGCAAGCAGAAACTCCCTAAGCAAGTGCAATAGGAGCACTAGTAAACTAAACCAGAATCTCTCTAAGCAAGCACAATATTACTTACTGACCTTGAGAGAGGGATGAAATTCTGGGAAGGAGTCTGCCTGCAGTGCTTTCAAAACATATCAGCAGGGCATTCCCTGCTTCAAAGTGCATCTTTCCTCTCTCCTCCACTGCAGCCTCCCTCCTGCTTTTACTCTCTTCAGAGTCTGCAGCATTTTTTTCCACCTGCATGCTGTATCCGTGCGTCCAGCACATGATACAGAGCCCAAGTGGAACACCTGCTTGCAAAACAAATCCTTGTAAAACAAGATAAGTGAACAAGGTTTCTCCCTAATTAAAAATAAATAAGATGAAAGGAACATGTATTTGCATCTACAGCCTTTAATACCGTCAGAATACTTTGTTCCATCCCAGGATCATTCGCCTGTTGGGCCTCTAGACCCTTTCCAAATTCATATATTTTCAAATTGTAATCTTTGAAAGCTGACACCATTTTCTTGCAAAGCATTAAGGGGCCATGCTATTTGTCTGCACTGCACTATGCCCTCCCTGTGCCCCTTGGCCAGGCTGGGCTGCTCCAGGAGGCAGATGATGGGGCAGGGTGAGCAGGCAGAAGTGTGAGCTGAGCTGCCCTGTGAGTGTCCTGTGGGTTTCCGGTAGGACAAGCCTAGAATCTTAGTAGAATTGGTTTTTAGCCTTACCAAATAAAAACCAAACCAAAACAAACAAAAGAAAAAACCAACTTGTTTATTATGTTTATGGTAGTTATAAAAAGTTAAAAGCCTTGTGATATAGAAATGCACAACATACTGTGAACAGGAAAAGAATGAGATACAGTTCAATCAGAGAAGGACATTAAAATAGCAGAAATAGTGAAAGAAACCACCTCCTTCCCTACCTTCCACTATAGAAAAATTAGACTGCCTTGAGGAAGGTACAAAACAGATAATCTTGCTCCTTACAACTTTTAGTAACAAATAGTGCAATTTGCAGTTGCCTTTTCATACTTCTCCAATTTACATGCAACCCTAGCATACTGCTGACTGTCCCTGTTTTGTATAATCAGAAAAGTGTTACTATTGCCATGAAGCGACATATTACCTTTCATTAACCCTTACATTTCCTAGATGATTGTGTTTTTTCTCATTTTGTGACATCCATTCATCACACTCTCAGTTGTAGGACTGATAGGATTGAGATCTTACTTCTTCAGAAGTGATCTTACTTCTTTAGAAGTTTAAAGCAACTATTTCTTCTTCCTGGTGATTATAGTGATAGTGAATTTTTCAACTAAAATGTAAAACTCAAGGGTGTTATAGAATAAATAGAGTAGATACGCTAAGCCATTTTTAAGTGACAACACTTTTCGGGAAGAGAAGATAAAGTTAAGGAATGAAGCAAGTCATTAATCTGAGCAAAAGTGGAAAAAAAAAATCAGGGGAGCAGAAAAATGAATAGATAGGGCATGCACAAATCAATAGTAGGACTGTCATTAAACTCAAAAGGAGGCAAGTTTTGTTCCCTAAAGAAGGACAATTTTTGCAATGACTCTCATTGTCCACTTTGCATCATATCTCTTTGAAATTCTAGGCCCCTTTCAGTCAAATTTGGCAGAGAGGAAAGAGTTTTTAAAATGTTATTTTTTTTATTTATTGAAGATGATAATGATCCAGTTGTAGCAATAACATATTTCTATTTGAAAAGTGAGTCATAGTGGTATTCCCCAAGATCTATTTTTCAGCGTTTTTCAGACTTCACATACAGGAACTTCCTACCAGGTCAGTGACAGGTGAACACAGCTCAAACAGATAGCAGATCTTTGTGAAGGATAAAATGCACACAAGGCATGCGATTCTGAAATTCAAAGGAGATTTCAAATGGTTGTATTTCAGTAGGCTTAAATAATGTTCTACCTATTCTGCACTTCCTTAGAAAAATCTAAAATATATTTTTCAGTAATTATCTTTTTTTCATTGAAGAAGACCTTCCAATAATTCATAAGCTTTACCTTCATTATCCCGTGTTCATTTTTATAGTTCCTCATTGCAGAAAACTGATGTGGCCCAATTTCACTAGCCATGACAACACTGAGCAGACTCATCCGTGCTAATAGACACGGCCACAAAGGGGTGCAGAGTTCAGTTGACAGCTACATCCTAGCACAATAATGGTAATCAGGATACTGTAGGAACAAAGTTGTTATCTCCAAATTGTACAAGGTATCAGCACTTTTTCCTAACTTCTAAAGCCTCCTCCTACTTCTGTTTACATTGCCTGACCTCTGTGAATTTGACAACTACTGCCAGTACACACACACACACACACACACACACAAAAGGGTAATCAGATGACTGTACGAGGCTTGTGAGATTTCTAATAATGTCTCTTACCCATTCTCCAGGGAAACCAAAGACTTCCCTATGTGTTGGATCTGGTTTACATATCAGGCCCTCTTTTTGCCTCGGAAGGTTGCCACCCAGAGCAACAGCCCTTCTTTTTTGTCTTGACGGAGGAGATCACAATATCGGAGACAGGTTGACTATCTAAGGTGACCCTCCAGACTCTTGTTCTTCCTTTGATATCTCAGAAAAAAATATGTAATTTATATTTGCATTAAAAGAAATTTTTCATTTTTTGTATCATCAGTAGCACTGGGACTTAGCATTACCTTTTGGGCTTTTGATGACCTAGAGTATAAAGATATCTTTCCTTCAAGTATTTCTAATGCACAGTCAAATCAAATATTTTCCTTTGAGCTGTTTTAAAAGAGTTTGGCAACATTTAATGTTTTTTGGTACTCAATCCAGTTCTTTGATCTTCCTGCAACATTACCT